GCAAATTTAATTCAGGAAGAAAAATACTTGCAGTCTTTGACATAAAATCATTAATTTAGTGACTGTTCAAAGTTACAATGACATTGAAAAAAATGACTCATGACCATTTTCACATTTACAACATTGCAGCACCCCTGTGGTCATGTAATCAAAATTCAGATGCTTGAAAACTGATTCATATTTATGACACTTTAGTGTCCTGGAGTCATACAATCACCTTTTGCAGCCTTCTGATTAGCCAAGTCAATGACAAAACCAGATTCACTCAACAAACATGTTACTAACTTAAGAACTGCAGTTATCAACTTAATAACAGTGGCAAGAAATGGGAAAAAATCTAACTGAACAATTGGCTTACTTAGCAATATAACTTTTGAGCTCAACTGTGGTCATAAGTTGAGGACAACCTGTATGATAGGCCTGAATGATATTAGGTGTGATGGCTCTCATGATTGGTGGAAAGGTCACAGACTTAACACATCTATAAAAAGGAAGTGATAAGAAATTTCATTAACAACGAGAACACTGTTGCTGACCAACCCCAGCTCGAGTTGGAACCCCAAATTATTCTTCTGACACCCACAAGTTCCACACTTGTGGGAAGTGAGAACTTAAGGGACACAGAGGCACTCTTCGGATATTGTCAACAGCATACATGATTTTTGCTTTTTTCTGAAAATCAGACAACATTGGTCCAAAGGAATTTCTCCAGCCAAAAGAGCATGCTGGGCATTTGATGGCTGGGTACTTCAGGGATTGCAATAGCAATAGTATTGAGTCTGTCATCTGCACCTCTATAACTGTCTGGTTTGTTTCTGCAACCCAACAAGACAGACACAGACTTCAGAGAGTAATTAGGACTGCAGAAACAACAATTACTACCAACCTGCCTTCCACCGAGGACCTGTATACTCTACAAGTCAAAAAGAATGCTCGCCCCTCACATCCTGGACACAACTCCTACCCTCAAAATGATGCTATAGAGCACTGCACACCAGGACAACTAGACACAAGGACAGTTTTTTTCCTGAATGCCATCACTCTGTTAAACAAATAATTTCCTCAACATTGTCAAACTATTTGCAAAGTTTGCATTAATGTTACTATTACTATTAATCCTTCCATCCTTCCTTTCAACCATCTCCTCCCACTTATGACTGTAACCTTCTTGCTTGTATTCTAACAATTTGTATTGACTGTTTCCTGGTATGAGTTGATTGCTTATTGTACCCTATGACTATTATTAAGTGTTGTACCTTATGATTCTTGACTCTTGATGAATGCATCTTTTCTTTTTTGTATACTGAGAGCATTTGCACCAAGACAAATTTCTTGTGTGTCCAATCACACTTGGCCAATAAAAGGATTCTTATTCTTATTCTTAGTAGTTAGACTTATGTACTGCTACATAGTACTTTGCAGTCCTAGGCCATTTACAGAGTCAGTGTATTGCCCCCAACAATCTGGGCCATCACTTCGGAAGGATGGAAGGATGAGTCAACCTTGAGCCTGGTGAGATTCGAACTGCCAAATTATCGGCAGACAGCAGTCAGCAGAAGCAGCCTGCAGTTCTGCCTTCTAAACACTGTGCCACCGCAGCTCTCCATATCCTTTCTCACCACCACCAGCAATTTAAGAGGGACAAGATAATGATAAGAGAGTGAAATACATGCAGGGTAAAGAAACCTAGCAGCTTTTGGAACTTTCATTCCAAAATTATGACTCACCACTGGAAACGTTGGCTGGAGGGGATCTGGTTGAAAAGGTAAAGTGGATTTAGACATTTCCTTGCAGTGATGACTCCTCCAAAGAGATAATCACCTGGCTTGAAATAGTTCTTCCACTCTGCTGGAGGTCGTTGTGAAGTCAAGGGACATTTTGCCTTCAGCATCCCCCCAGGAATCGGGGGAAGGAGAAGCAGAAAAAAGAAGAGACTCACTCCTTGCATAGCTGGCATAGCCACTTGCTCCTCACAGTTAGGAAAACTGGGAAGAATGAAGAGCAGCCTAAGTCTTAGTTGGCTTTCCTTAGCTTCAGGTAGGAAGGCGATCCTAGCAAAGGAATCTTTCTTCTTCTGTACCCTGATCTTCAGCATCATTTCTCAGTGTCAGCAGAGCTTTATGCTGCTCTATTTACAGGCTCAAGGCAAGATATCACCCTTGGTTTGTCTCTGCTCTGGTTTTTGATTTAAGACAATCTTGAGAGAAATCTCTGGAGATTTGTTCAGAAGGCCAACTGAAGAAATTACACGGAGAGGAAAATCAGCTCAGTCACATCCTGGATTCACTCAAGGGGGAGGGCAGGGGAGATGCAGCCAGAGAAAAATGTCCCAAATGGACCAGATGTGCTTCCTTCATTTCTGATATTCATTTCATCATGTTTTCCTGAGGGGATAAATTTAGCAGTTTGAAGGAGTATAGTGATCAAACCAATATTTGCTGTTTGCTTCTGATATAATATACCGCTAAAAATCATGTATTAGGAATTAACCTTTGTCATTGGCTTCTGCTTATATTAGTCTATACTGTCAGAAGTTACTTGTTAGGAATTAATTCTAGCTTAGTAAATTGTAGCCTTGATACTGGCTACTATTAGTACAAAGTTTGTTATCTTGCTTCTGTGTCTCGCTTCTGTTTTTTGGCTTCGAAGCTAGACACATCCTTGAAAATATAGAAGAAACTGTTAACCAGGAATATCAGGCCCAATAGATAAAAGAACCAGAGTAGGGAGTTTCCTGCCTCATAGATTCTGAATCCTGAAACCATTTTCTGCTAAATAAACAACTTGGCCAGGGAGGGAAACCTCCCCTATAGGAATGCTCCATAGATAAGGTGGGCAGAGACAGGGACCTGAACAAAGAAGGCCACGTTGTCTCTCATTGGGTAAACTTTGTTTCTAATGGGGTAAAATGTGTATAATACTCTGAGCCACTCTTGTAAGGGTGTGGCTATTTCTTACATGCATTTTGTCTGTATGTTTTGGACATAGTATTCACCCAGACTTTTTACTTTGGCCATAATAAAAAGCTATTATTTTTTGCAAGCCTCATCTTGTGTCTTACTCTCTTTGGCATTTCAGTGGCTTTGGGGAAACTTCTGGGACCTTACAGTTTTAAATATAGTTCCTCCTCCTTCTCCTTCTCCTTCTCCTTCTCCTCCTCCTCTACAACCACCACCTCCTCCTCCTCTTCCTCTTCCTCTTTGAATCAACCTTGAGCTGGTCAAGATCGGACTCCCAGCAGTGAGCAGAGTTAGCCTGCAATACTGACTTCTAACCACTGCACCACCATGGCTCCATTAAGCAAATGCTGAAGTTGTGAAATGAATCCATTTTATTCAATGGACATAATTTGCCAGAAACCAAAAGCCAGAAAGCAACAACAAAATATATTAAAAAAATTAGCAGCAACAAATCAACCATGATCAAATAAATCATGGTCATGTGACTGCAGAATGCTGCAAATGGTTGTAAAGGAGAGCCAGTTGCCAAGCAACCCAAATGCAATCATGTGATCACAGGGTGCGTGTGCAGTCTTTATAACTTTGAAATCGGGGTCCTAAGTAGCTTTGAGGGAGTGGCCTGTTGTAACTTCAAATGGTCACTAGGCAACCGGTTGTAAGTTGAGGACTATCTGTACAGTGGGACTGCTCCAGAGCCCCTCAATGTCCCCACATGAGCCCAGGAGACATGGCTTGTTTATGGTGGTGCCTGTGCTATGGAGTATTCTCACTCAAAGATGAACAGATTGGACCTACTATTGTTTCAGAAGATTGAGAAAGCCTGGTTTATTCCCCCGCATTGGTCAGGATGTTAGTTACTGCACCTCAGGTATGTGAAGTTCTGGTGTGTATTTTTAAGAGGGGCTTGACTTGTTTTTTTATTTTGTTCACAGCTCAGAGTTTCATTGGATAGAAAGGAAGTCAGATAATATTAATAAACCAAGGCAAGTGGAACAAGGATCTAATAAAAGAACTTTCAAACACGTGTCTGTTTCTTTCTAAAAACAGCTGAAATAATGAGAAACCACCCCCAAGAACAAGGTATTAAATGTTCACAATTAATATAACTGCATCTTTGTATTCAGCTTGTTTTTAATAAGATGATGTAGCGCTAGGGGATGAAGAAATTCACATTCATTTAATAAAAGGTGTTTTATCGGGACAAAGAGTTTGCTTAGTGCTTTTTGGGGAAGCCTAGGACAGAACACCAACATAGGAGGCCAAGATGGGGGAATACCTGCATGGTTTCTGCAATTCTTGAGAGATAGAGAATTATCACACAAGGAAAACAAAACTGAACTTCACTAAAAAAAGGGGGAATTATTAACTCTTTGTACCTTAAAAGAAGTACACAAAAATATATACAATATTTCAGAAAGACCGCACAGTGATTAGGGAAGTTTGTTACAAATGACTTTTTCCAAGATGGGAGATGCCACAGTTTAATGTCAACTTGTAAAACATTCCTATGTCTGTTTCCAAGTTGTCATAAGAAAGAGGGGGTGATCTTGAAGGAGCATAGGGTAAATGAACTCAGAAGCACATCCCAAGCTTATCTCACAAAGTTTGTAACTGAGGCAACCGGGTATTCTGGGCACGAAAATCCTCTATTGGAGAGTGTGATTGACGACAACCAGAACATGTTTTGTTGGACAATCTGAATTATGATACACCCAAAGCGGTGGGGGGAAACAAGGTCATAGGTGATTGTAAATTACATATCTCAGAGTTGGTTTCATACAGGTCACACCAGCATGTTGCTCCTAATAAATCTTTTGAAGTTTTTTGAAGTTTGGCTTGAGGCTCATGATTTAATTAGGGTGATCGCTATGGAATCCTGACATTTAATACAGCAGATGATTGTAGACAAGCGGAGACACTGGGCATGGGGGGGGGGAGCTTTGTAACAGATTTATAAATTTTTTTGGAGGTGGGAGAGGCATAGAATGTATACAATTTTATGATTCGGAAGATATGTTGCAGAAGAAATCAGATGCTAATCTAGATTTTAACAACTAGCTGCTCCTTTACATTCAGATCTGGTTTTATTAAAATAATGTAGCACTTGGGAATGAAGATGCAACCCAGCAGGCCACCACTAGAGGCCAAGATGGAGAAGATCTGCACAGCCACCATGTACTTCCCTTTGGTACTCAGGTAGGTGGGTACAAAGGACACCCAGACACTGCAAAAGACCAACATGCTGAAGGAGATCAGCTTGGCTTCATTAAATGCCCCAGGGAGGTTCCTAGCCAGGAAAGCCACCATGAAACAGATGGTGGCCAGGAAACCCATGTAACCAAGAGCAACATAAAACATGGCAAGAGAACCTTCGTTGCACTGCAGGACAATCTCTCCTGATTGGGAGTGCATATCAGAATCAGGAAATGGAGGAGAGACCACCAGCCAGATGCTGCAGATGACCGTCTGAATACTGGAAGAACAAAGGATGATGGAGTTCATAAAGCTCTTCCCCAGCCATCTCCTCATCCTGTTTCCTGGCTTTGTAGCCAGAAAGGCCAGCACAACTGTGACAGTTTTGGCCAAGACAGAAGACACAGCAATTGAGAAGACGATGCTGAAGGCTGTTTGTCGGAGGAGGCAAGTGACTCTCCTTGGCCGGCCAATGAAGAGGAAGGAAGTGACAAAGGAAAGCAGAAGGGAGACCAGGAGGATGTAGGAAAGGTCCCGGTTGTTGGCTTTGACAAGGGGAGTTTTTCGGTGTTTCACAAAGATTGCTAACACAAAGACAGTAGCTAAGGACAAGGAAAGTGCAAGAGAATCCAGGATGATCCCCAAATTTTCACTGTAAGCCAGGAAGGTTAATTTTTTAGGGAGACATTGATCTTGCTTCTGATTTGGATGCTGATCATCTGGACATCTGGCACACTTTTCTGCATCTGAAGTGAAGGAAAAGATTACCAATCATCTTCAGCCAGCAATCTAGTCTTTTCTATGTCACCAATAAACATGCTGAAGAGGGTGAGAAATAGAAAAACCAAAGGAAAGTACAGGGACTATAAACAATGTTATTAAACCCTATGGACACTTTTCTGCTCTTTAGGATTGGTGGGGACTCATGCTTGTCCAATACCTTTGATTCCTATTGGCTTATTTTTAACAGCATAGCACTATTCCAGTATTTGAGGGGCTGCCATCAAGAAGAAGGGGATCAACTTATTTTCCAAAGCACCAGAGAGCAGGTGTCAACTAAAAAGATACTCCTTTGGTCTTTTTAGCTGCCAGAAAAAGGGAGTGGGGGAAAAAAGGCATTCTTGAAATGTCTAGATATCAACTCAGTAGCCCAAAATTGTTGGAGCATAAGGAGGGTATTGGAGAGCATGATGGATGACTCTTGGAGACTGAAGTGTCCTATTGGAGAAGCCACATCCAGGGGGTGGGTGAAAGACCAGGGTCAAGGGGGAAAGGTATGATGTGATTTAGTACCGGCTGCACCCAGCCATGCACCAACATGGCAATTTCTAATAAACCAATTTACTTTTTCTGAGATGTGGCTAGAGACTTTTGCTTTGGATCAGGGGGATTTGTTGGAGCCCTGACAGCAGGACTAATAACAACGGATAGAAATTATTCAAGGAGAGCCTATGGAGATTCTCAGTCATCCAGGTCACAGTTATCCCAAAGGTGCTTTTTCAGGAGGCAACTGGACTTTCTGTTTTTTCTTGGAGGATGTTTTGCTTCTCATCCAAGAGCTGAAGAAGCTTCTTGGATGAGAAGCGGAGCGTCTTCAAAGAAAAACCAGAAAGTCCAGTTGCCTCTTGAAAAAGCACCTTTGGGATAATCAAGGAGAGAAGCAACCTGGAATTAAGGAGAAACATCTTAACAGTGAGGAGAATTAACCAGTTGAACAGCTTGCCATCAGAAACTGTGGGTGCTTCATCATTGGAGGCTTTTAAGAAGAGACTGGACAGTCACTTGTCTGAAATGGTATAGGGCAGGGGTGTCAAATTTGATTTCATTGAGGGCCACATCAGGCTTGTGTTTGACCTCGAGTGTGTTTGTGTGGTGGGTGTGGTCAGGGTGGGTGTGGCTAGCTTGACATCACTCATGTCAGAGGTGCCTTTGGCGGCCTGAACACTCTGCCAATGAAAATGGGCTCCCAAGGTCTATTTCCAGCTGCGATGGCCTCCTGCAACCCTCTGCCAGTGAAAATTGAGCTTGGGAGAGCAGTATGTGAGTCTCCCAAGCTCCATTTTCCTGGCAGAGGCACCACAGGCTGGTCCTTCACTGTTTCCAGGGTGGCCCCGCAGGTGAGATATAAGCACCTCATGGGCTGGATCCGGACCCCAGGCCTTGAGTTTGACAACCCTGGTATAGGGTCTCTGGCTTGAGCAGGGGGCTGGACTAGAACAATGGTCACCAACCAGTGGGCCAGGGACCACTGGTTGTCTGCGAGAAAATTTTGGTGGTCTGCAGAGAAATGTCATCCCCAAAGCAATTAATCCAGGCTACACAGGAACGCAAGGCTGCACCACCCACATGGCCCGTGGGAACACAAGGCTTGCATTGTTTGCATTGCGCACATCACAAGATAGTGAGGGGAGTGAGTGAAGGGTGAAGGGGGGGAACTTGCCCCACGTGCCTGGCCTGGCCACCGGGCTGCTTCTGCTTTTGGCTGCACACAAGAAAAGCAGCAAAAGTCTTTCTTTCTCTCCCCCAAAATCTGCCAGAAATGAGTCTTTGGGACCCTGCAAGGCATCTCGCTACAAGAGGCTGCGCCGGCAAAAACTCATTTCTGGCGGAGTTTGAGGGAGCTGCTTCTGCTGCTTTCCTTGCATGAAGCCAAAAGTCTTTCTCTCTCTCTCCACCTGAGAACAAAGCTGGAGACGGTATCCTGCGATCCCAAATAAAGAATGATCGATCGGTAGGAAAACGGGGTGGGGAATTTTCCTGCAGCCTTTTTTTGGGATTTTACCAGGGTCTCTGGTCTGCGGGATTTAAAATTATGAGTTTGATGGTCCCTGAGGTCCAAAAGGTTGGCGACTCCTGGACTAGAACACCCCCAAGATCCCTTCCAGGTCTATTCTGCTCTATTCAACATGTTTCAGAAATCAACTAAGTAAGGTCAAATCTTCACACAGGGAGAATTATTAACTTTTTGCATTGAAGGGTTGCTTCTGGACTCACCTACCTTCCTGAGAGGAAAAGGTGCCTTCTCCACAGGGTACACAGTCATAGCAGCAAAAAGGCTTGCCTTCCTGGCCCACCTTGAAAAATCCAGGCTGACAACTGTCCACACATTTGGAGGGAGGCAGACTCTACATAGAAAAAGGAGGGTTGTAAAGGAATACAGTTTATGGAGGGAAAGTTGGAAATATTCTAAGAGTTGTTTAGCAACAGATCAGACTTGATTTAAGTTAAAGTCTGTAATACATCTTCTTCTAAAATGTGGAAAGGGTTGAGACTAGAAGGAGAGGTTTTGTGTTATTGTTCCCATGTGTCTTATCTGGACCCTGACTTTGGTTAAAACAGAGATTGTCTTTGGTTAACAATTACTACCAACCTCTCTTCAATCGAGGACCTGTATATTGCACAAGTCAAAAAGAGGGCTGTGAAAATATTTACAGATGCCTCAAATCCCAGATATAAACTGTTTGAACTCCTTCCCTTAAAACAATGCTATAGAGCAGGGGTCCCCAACCACCGGTCCGCGGACTGGGACCGGTCCA